AATACTTTTCTAAATAATCGAGAAAAACAAACTAAAAGTTAAGGGGAAAACGGGTAATTTTACGCACACTCATTTTTCGACAAAATCTATTTTGACCAGTTTATGTTTAAAGTTATCCATTATTTAGATATAAATAACTATCTAGGATATTTATTTTAAATATATATTTAATAAGTTTCAAATTGTTAATTTTGTATAAATACATTTTGAGGTCATCATTGAAATACACTGTAAACTGTAAAGAACCATGTATTGAATATGAATAATTTAACCATTGGGTGTTAAAATTAAAAATTGTGTCTAATAAGCTTAAAATTATTCAAAATACTTTAAAGTTGTTATTCTATATAGAAAACGATTATGTATTGTCTCAATAATATCACTAAACATTATTAGTCCAAGTATGCTTTTCGAATAAATAATAACACCTCAAATGGTGTTTGTTTAATACTTTAATGGGTTGAATGACAACTACTAATTTTTAGGCCAGAACGATATAATATATTTTGCTCAAAAAACTTCTACAAACCAACTGACCAAACTAGTTAATGACTTATCAATCTTTTTTAACACTAAAAATGAACTACTGTCATTTAAATATTTAATTTGATTTTGCAAAGGTGTCTGATGAAGTTTTGCGCTAAGACATACTTTATATAAGCTACCATTAACAAAATAAGCTCAGTCCAATGTGTCAAATTAGTGAAATGCTTCCTAAAATAATAAGTTTTTTCAACACGTAATAACTTAGCTAGAGTTTCACAAACGTTTTTTTAAATCTCCATTTCTATTTAAATTKTATTACATTCTTTCAATGTTTATAATGAACACAMATTTTGTAGACAATATCTYATACGTTTTCATTCTAGCATGAAAATAATATAATACCACAAACAATATCTTATTCTGGAAGGGACAACATCTCTAAGCACGCACATTTTCATGATTCACCCCACTAGGGTATTCTAAGGTACCCATATTTCGAAATTACTTGACCAGCCACTGTAGATGATTGTAATGCTCATCAGGAATTGAAGGGTACGAAAACTACATTATTTGTGACAAGCATGACTTGCATACCCGGATTCATTTAATTAAGTCTTGCCATCAAGCATGAAAATCTTTATTTTCTTCCATTTTATGATAAAAATAATATTTTTAAATCACATTTTGAGTCGTTCCATCACCAGGCATGTGATATTGGGTACCTGCAAGTGGTAATTAACTTAGTCAAATGGAAACGATATAAAAATAGCGTAAAACTAATCTAAATATTAAAAAAATAAAAATAATGTGTATCTACGTAGTGGAAAGGGTTTTCATGGCCTTATGGAAAACGAATATTTT